TTCATATGTCCTATAAGGATTCTGTATATTTTAATGAATTTAGGTTTTATAGTAAATGAAAACATTTCCTTTCATTGCTGTATTTTTGAGATGTTTAGTTATTGACATTCAGGTAAAAAGGGAAAAACTGACATTTAATCATTACTCTGCATTAATTTGATTAACAAGGTGTCAGAGAGTCCCACTCTCCTTCCTGTCTCTGTGTGCACAGAATATACTATACCCAACTGGCCACCTGCCAGACTGTTCATGTATGGAGGGGGCACTCCATGTTGGTGTTGCTTCAGAAACTGACAATTATTAGTATATTTTGCAACTCAAATAATATTGAATTTCCTTTTGTATAAGATAGCTGAGAGCAGTCAACTTAAAGTATGTGAAAAAGTGAAAAAATATTTGTTAACATTATTCTATGAATACTATGCCATTTGATATATAAGCAGAAATATTTATCTGCTCTCCAAAAAGCAAAAAATCAGTTCAATAATTGGTAATAACTGTAATCAAAATATTGTACAGATATACAAAAATTTAGTGAGCTCAGATTCATCATCCCTGTTTAGCATCAATAAAATGTCTTCATATCTAAATTTAAAAAGGTATTTGGAATCCAGATAGTGTCATAAGTTAAACATCATGACATTGTTGAATAAGTAGTAATTTCATTAGAATGTTGAGATCAGCTTTTGACGTATATTGTTTTTTTTTCTCTTTGACATCCAAAGGGGGAATTACATCTGTCTTAGATTTATGTAAAAGAATCAGTAAATAATTAAACAACAAGGCACAGAAAGAACACCTTTTTTAAAAACTTAATTCTTTTTTATGCTACCAGAATATTTTGAAAACTATATATATGGCTGGTGAATAAAACTTCAACTTTCAAGGAAATTTGAAATGACAGTGTAAGAACCAGCCTATATCCTTTGGGATTATTACTGTGCTGTTAGCTAAGAAAAAGTCACTTGGGATTGGTAAAAGTTCTCTAATCTTCACTATACTTAAAGTACATTTTGACCATCACTAAACATGTTTATCTTATCCTGGAGAATATGAGTAATGTGAAAATAGATGACTGTGTTTGTATCAGCCAAAGCCCACCATGGCATTATAGAACATCGTGGTCAGCAGTTACCAAGCCCACAGTGCAGGACAAGCATTGACTCTGAACAGTCTGCCAGGTCAGAGCCATGGCTGTTTAAACACATTGAAGCCAGTGCTGAACGGCTTCTGATGCCTGACATTATAAACACTGCGTGCCCTGTTGCTAGGAAGTAACTGCAGAAGAGAATAGAGACGTAGACATGGCCAACCAATGCCTGACTTAACTTGAGGCCCATTCCACAAGTGAGGACAGTGTCCACAAGTGACACTGCTTGGGTGGCAAGGAACTGGAGACTGGAGAGCCTAGAGACCTAGGATAGAACCAAACACAACTGATCTTAAAAAAAATCAATGAAATGATTCTGAATGATAGCTTGCTACACTCATAGATTGGTGTCTTGTCCAGTTATCATCAGAGAGACTTTCCCCAGCAGCAGATGGGAGCAGATGTTGTAGGAAGTGATAAAGTAAAAATATCTGTTTCACAAAGAAACCAGAGTAAATTACAATATGCCATAGTGGTAGTTCATTAAAAATTAGCCATAAAGGCTTTCATGTGATATTCTGGAGATTTAATCATATAAAGATATTATTTTAAAAATACCATTTTGAATTAACCTATGTACTGAATAATCATTTAAAAATTCTGTATTTTAAAGTTCAGGTGTACTGTGAATGTTATGTAATGAAAATGCCACTGACTATAAATCTGTTTTATGTCTGGTTCACATACTCGGGTACAATCTAACATGCAGGGTATATCCATACCCACATTCAGTGATAATGAGACATTGATGTTCAGAGAAATTTGATATAGTTGCCTGTCTGTAAGTAGTAGAGTCATGATTTGTCAAGCTGGAAAATTATGCTTTCCTATATAATATGAATGCATTTAATAACTTGCTCCAAACTGCAGCAAATGATTGATGAACAGGGTTAGATTTTCAGGCTTAGACTATGAATTCAGCGCATTGAATGAAAAAAAAGCCTTGTGTCACCACCATGCATTTCTGCAGGGGGCCAGCATAATTACACACACCTTGACACAAGCTGTAGTTACCTGGGGGGAAAGCATCTCAACTGCAGAAAATGCCTGTGTGAGATTGGCCTGTGGGCATGTATATAGGGAATTTTCTTCATTAGTGTTTGAGCTGTGAAGCCCCAGCCCATTGTGGATGGTGCCGTGCCTGGCCATGTGGTCCTGAGGTATATAAGAAAGTGAGCTGATCAAGTCTTGAAAGCAAGCTAGCAAGCAGTGTTTCCATTGTCTATGTACATCAGTTTCTGGCCCCAGATTCTTGCCTTGAGTTCCTGACTTGGCATCCCACTATGATGGACTCTAATCTGTAAGCCCAAATAAACCCTTTCCTCCCCAAGTTTTCACAGCAACAGAGAAACAAACAGAAACAACAAAGATGTCATTTTGAAAGTGTCTCTAGGGAGACACACTCTCACCCTGGACTCCTGGGGGAGGGTCTAGGCCCTGCCCTGGATGAAATGACAGACTACAGATACCCCCCATGGAGGGCCTCACCCTCCCTGGGGAAAGGAGGGGGTGTTGGGGTGGCTGGTGGGAGGGTGTGGGAGGAGGGGAGGGAAAGAGAAAGGGACCTGGGATTGACATGTGAAGCAACTTTGTTTCTAATTTAAATTTAAAAATAAAACAAAAAGCAAAAAACAAAAAACAAACAAAAAAACCAAAACTGTCTCTAGGTGTAACTTATAATGTATGTCACGTTATCTTTCAGTGAATGTAAAGGTGTATGCACACACGTGAATGTGTTGTTTTAATGGAACCACTATTTCTAGTATCACATAGTTTTTCTGTAGAAAATTTCCCAGAATAAAATAAATCTCAGACCATACGTGGAAAAACTAACTAGATTGAGTAGTGGAGGAGAATCAATAGATTCTGCTTCTGAGAACTGTCACTATTTTATTTTACCCGTCACTTATTGGAGAAATAAAGGCTAGCGTTAAACTTCACCATCCATCTGTCATGACATGTGGAATGAACCAATTAAAGCTTGGGCACTGTGAAATTGCTACCTTTCTATCTTTATATGGATTTATGTTTGACGAATTGAGGAAACCAAGAAAGCTTATCGTAGAATATGACCTGGTTAATAGGATTTCTTGCCACAGAGAATATGTTAGATGTAGAAATAGTTATAAAATTAGATACCTTTTTGTATGGTATTGGAAATTCCAGGAAAGTTCTATTGTTATTAACTAAAGATTATGATAATGCCAATTCCCTATAATAATAAAATGAAGAAAAATGTTAACAAAAACTGATGGAGAGTTCAACAAACAAGGGAAAATGATGGGCATAGTATCTCATTAGAGCAGCAGAACAGTAACTAAGACAATGCCGTTTAAGAACTGGTATTTTATAGTAATGTACATATTTGATACAAGACATACTTAAAGGAAATTATCAGATCCAATCATATGTGAATAAAAACATTGTTTTAAGAAAAAATGACCTAACTAAAGTTATAAAAAGAACACAGTAGTTAGGCAATACACATGTGCAATTGAGAAAATGCTTTGTCTTATTGTTCTTATTTCAAATTTTTAATAAAAAGTGGTTAGCAATTAAACAGACATACGCTGTAACACACCTTCTACATGAGGAAATTACTAGTATGTAAGAGAGAACAATATATCTAGCAGCCAGAGATAAAACTATGAAAACACAAATAACATATACAATACTCTTTGAATAAAATAACATAAAGAATACTTGTTATCTGGTTACAGAAGTGTGCTGAAATAATACATTCTGTATTATTGTCATAAATATAGACAGCCTACAATTCTCTTGACTTTTCTGTTGGATTGTTATAAAATAATTTGGAAAATTGACACTTGTTTTCACTACTCAAGCAGTCAACTATTGTGAAAATTTACCATGGGGAGAAACTCTAAAGAAGAGAAAATACTATGCACAAAATATTTATTGTCCTGTTTTGTACACTGAGGAAAACATGATTCCTGGTGAGAGTCATATATTAACCTCACGAAATTCCCTGCTGAGATGAAAGTATTTGCAGGAAATGTAGAACTCTCTTCCACTTTAAAAACGTAGAACTCTCTTCCACTTTAAAAGCGTAGAACTCTCTTCCACTTTAAAACATAGAACTCTCTTCCACTTTAAAAATGGCAGCATTTTTTTCTGCCTGTTGAACTGTTTGAAGAGACTACCAACGATGAACTTCAACAATAAAAAGATCAGAAATTCTCCCAGATAACTTGCTATTTCTCTCACACGTGCTCTCCCATCTATAACTGACTTAAAAGCATGAGCCCTCCCCTCCCCTTCCCTTCTTTCCATTAAGTTTTCCTTCTCTCCTAGCCCTTCCTCACACCCTCCTTTGCTTTGCCCTATTCTGCTCTGCTCTCCCCTTTCCTTCCCTCCTTCTTTTCCTCCCTCCCTTCCTCCCTCCCTTTCCCAGCCCTTCCTTCCTCCTCTCCTCTGATTAAAAATAGAAAAATACAAAAGAACAATATTATGAGGCTGTAGGTATACTATTACCATGAAGTTATAGCTATCAAGATAGTGATAAAACAATAGGCAAATTGGGTAAATAATGAAATACAATGCCCCAAAATATTAGCCTTGTAAATGTAGTCAATGTGTCTTTGACAATGAAGCAACAGAAATCCTGGAGCAACTTTTTCAGACAATTGAATCTAGACCCAGAACACACAGCCATGTATGTGGACTCAAAGTGGATTAGAGACCTTGGTATAAACCAAGAACTGTAAAACCTCTCAAACGAGACCAACAAATTTTCAGAGGCTTCTCATGTAGCTTTAATTTCAAGGTTTAATCATCTTCTTCTTGTATGAACTCAATGCATGCTATTTTTACTAACCTTTATCCACAGCAAGCTGCCAGCTGCAGATTCTGGTGGGGATCTCTACATCCTACAAACCTGCCAGGGATGTAACTTCAACTTCATCAGGATATTGAAGTGATGCGTGAGTTCATGTATTTCTTCATCTTACTCGATTTTAATTCTTTACTGTGTTTCCATGCATGTTTGTTCCCCAATGACTTCCTGCTTCTGGACTCTTGCTTATTATGCCTAACAGGTGCCCACATGTCAATCGGCCGTTTTGACCCAAAGCAGTAACAGACATTTAAAGAAAACATCACAGGTCAGGACAGTCATAGAAAGGCTGAGTTAGCTCTGCTTGAATCTGATCATCCTGTTTTGTATGGGGGGGATGGGGGTGGGGGGTGGGAGGGGTGGGAATCTAATACCATTAATTGGTTTTCTAATGTTCTAGACAATGTCCTATGGTAAGCTAACTGCGGCCTGGGTAGTTGCAGGGTTAATCAGCCCGCCAGCTCTCCCCTGTCCTAATCACCAGGGTTGAGCTCCCTTGTACTGCTTTGGTGAATTCACCCTTTGCAGTGAAGAGCAGGGAGGGGCAGTGCTCCTGCTTTCATATCCTCAGGGTTGGATCTGCCAACCTACACCTTCAGGACCAGCTCTACTGTGTTGCCAGGCGTGGTGTAGGGCCACTCTCATGAGTGCTGTAACAGATGGGGATCAGGGCGAGCTTTCTCACTCTTACACCTCAGGGCGCCGTCTCCCACTCACCTCAGCTGTTCACGGGCTATTTTTAACTCAATAATGTTTAGTGGATAAGGCCATATCAATAGAAAAATAGAAATGTAATTTTTCCAAAATTCGCAAGACTCATCAATCAGAATAGTCCTATATAAATACAGTCAAGGGAATTAGAAGAAAATTGAAAGTACAGCATATGGCATACAACATATAGCATTTGTGTGAAAACAATAATAAGCATGGGGACATTTAAGATGACAGCATGAAGTCTTTAATTAGCTCATATGTTGTTTAATAGCTATTAAATTAGTAAGTATCCACTTAATAAGTAAATGGTTGGAAAATGTTTTGTTGTTCAAATAATAGCAGTGTAATATAATTTGAATTTTGAAATTAAAGTAAAAACTGTAAAGAAATTGAGCTAAAATTACTAGCAGCATAGCAGAGTGACTATATTTGATGACTCAGATCTGAGGTTTAAAAACAAAAAGAGCCGACTACAGCAACCCCGAGGGAAGAGAGCACTGCCTTGGGATGAACATATCAGAGGGTGGCCCGTGTGACATCTCTCTTTTCTCCTTTGAAAATATAATCGTCTTGATGGACCTGTGTTGTTAACTCTAGAGTGTCCAAGGAGTCATGCAAGAAAACTCAGAAACCTAAAGGAGTTGTCTTCTATGTAGCCCTATTGTAGTCTGCATTGGTTCAACAAGTGCTTTTTTTCATTCATCTTTTGATTAACACCCCACAATAGACACCCCTATTTCTTATTAAACTTTCTTTTACTCTTTGAAAATATTAATAATCTACCTCTTGCAAATCTCAGGGATTCTGTGGTAGTTTGTAATATATTAAAAATAGAAAGTTAAACTTAGTTATTACACAAAAAACAAAAATTGAGTATATCAGTGACCAAACATATTTTGAGATATATGCATGTATATATATATATTAGGTTGTATTTAAGCCAAGTTAGACATGCCTGTCTGTTCAAATGTTTATCATTTCTGTTAGTATTCAGAAGTAAACCTTTTCCTTGTAGAGACTGCTTGTTGATGAGAAGTGGTCTCTTTGATTTCATAGACCATGAGCTATTGCTTACAGCATAAGAACATGCCTAAATTTGCCTTATTAAAATTTTGTCATGAATTTTTGAGTAAAGAAAAACTGTTAATGGTTTTAGAGAATGATCATATGTAGTTAGGATCTTGTTAAACTTAGCTTAGTCATTTCTATTCCATTTTTCATTGGTGACCATTGATATTTCTTGCATAGACTTGGACAGTCATATGCAAGAATTATATATTCTTCAATATTACTTCCTCTTGACTTCGAATTTGAGGCATCTGTCTTGAAGTATTTGATATGTGCATTGTGGATGTCTGTGTGAAGATGTGTGCAATTCCCAGGGTATCTGTAATCATCAACTAGCATCTTAACATTGTGTGTAAGAAAATTTTTGTGCAAACAGGAATTGCTCCAGATTCAATTGTTGAATAAAACATCACTTTTATTCAAATCCAATATAATTTATTTCCATATCGAAGCTCAATCACATCACAAAATTTACTTTTGCTTTGTTATAAGATTTGTTTTGCACATTCCTGTGGTATCATTCCTCTTCTCTTTTTTATACTTTTATCTCACTATTGCTTCCTTTAAATTCTATTCTCCAATTGCCTTTGTTTACTCATTCAAATATTAGTACTTTTCAAAAAGTTTTATATTTATGCATTTATATAAGCACTACTTGGCTGTATTAGATGATAACACTTTGCTTTCCCTACATTGTTTTCTGTTTTATCTTTTTACCCTTTATCCCTTATGAAGTCTGTCAGTCATCTCTGTGCCCTTGCCGGTGTATCTACTTGGCTCTTCTGCTAGTTCTTGAGGTCCAGTCTGTCTCTAGGGCTATGATTGGTCTGATACTGATCGCCTCCTTAGTGTTAGGAACTGTTGTGAAGACACAGCTATTTCCAGAACTCATGGGTGCCAATGATGCTCAGGGCTCTCTGTGAGATCTGGAACCCTTGTGTCCTGATCTACTCCATGCCTCATATCACCTCTCCTTTGTCCTCTTCTCAAGATTCTTATCTTCCTAGGTTTTCTTATTTGATAAATATGGAGTATTGTTGGAGCTGGAAAGTGTTACCATGTAAATCTCTGTGTGTGTGTGAGAGACAGAGACAGAGACAGAGACAGAGAGATAGAGACAGAAGGACAGAGAGCCACAAGAACAAAACTCCCAACTGTCCCCAAGGTTTCACCTTGGCTTTGTATTCTCCCAGTCTTTGTTGATGTGGCCTTCTGCCCTTTCACTGGCTAACTCTTCTGGACTGGAACATATACTTCCTGGCCCTTCCTGGCTCTTCATTTCATCTCTGAGATGAAATCACAGCTCCTTACATTGTATTCATTCTATTAATTTCATCTATAACTATGTAGATATAATTCTATGTGCTGTGTAATGTGAGAATTAACATTAGTAATTAATACTGAAATGAAATAAACTGTATTTACGTTGGCAAGATTACCAAGAAAGGTGGGATTATCTGACAAATTGCTGCTGTTTAAACCTTATAAATTTATTTATTTATTTATTCATTCATTCATTTTTATGTCCCAACCAAAGCCCCTCCATCATCCACTCCTCCTCCACTATTTTTTTTTCAGATACAGGCAGGTCTCCCATGGATAGCAGCCAGCCATGGTATATCACTTTGCTGTGAGACTAGGCACCTCCTCTTCTATTATGGCTGGATAAGGAAATTTGGTAGGAGGAATGGGCCCCAAAAGCAGGTAACTGAGTCAGAGACAGTCCATGTTCCCACAGTTAGGATTCTCACATGAAGACCAAGATACACAACTGTAACAGAGTTGCACAACTGTAACATATGTGCAGAAGGCCTAAGTCAACCTCATTCAGGCTCCCTGGTTGTCAGTTCAGTCGCTGTGAGCTCCTAATATCCCAGGTTAGTTCTGTGGGTTTTCTTGTGGTGTCCTTAACGTCACTGGGACCTACAAACCTCCTTCCCCTATTCCACAGGATTCTCCAAACTCAGCCTAATGTTTGACTGTGGGTCTCTGCATCTGTTTCCACCAGATGCTGGACGAAGCCTCTCTTATGACAGTTGGGCTAGTCACCAATCTATGAGAATAGCAGAATATCACTAGGAATCATTTCATTGTTTTTTTTCTTTCTATTCATGTTTGGTTCTATTGGTTCTATCCTAAGTCTCTGGGGTATCCAGCCTCTGGTTCTGGTCCTAAGAGGGGAGCTCCCTCTCTGGGTCTGTAGTTCTGCCAGGCACTAGTTGGTCAGTCCCACAGTTTCTTTGCCATCTATACCCCGGCACATCTTGTAATAAATTCTACCATTGTAGAAAGACCTACAAGTTTGTTTATATTTCTGGCATAGCATGTTCTCTGCATCCCTAAAATCAAGTTGATTGCCCATATGCTGAGATAGTTTAGTTGCGGAATCTGCAACTATTTAGATCTCACATGACTGTTTGTAGTTATTACTTTAAAACATGAACGGAACATTTTTGTTATACCAGATATGTAGAGTAATCAAACTTGTAGAGTTGAAACAACTGAATTGTTCCATGGAATGCCACTGTCTCTAAAAAATTTCTAGAAATTTCTTCATATGCCTTTATAAGAAAACTATAATTGACAACAACAACAGCAACACCCCAAACAGACCCAATGATATGTTAATTGTGGAATTGCTGTCTAGAATCTTTCTTTCACCATCTTTTCATAGTTATCTTCTTTATAGTTTTCCTCAAGAGAGATTTTTTTTTATTTTCCTTTATGTTTTCAGGGAAATGTTTGCAATGAAACTAAATACACTGACCAGGGAATGCCAAACTAATTAACTGTCCTGCTTAAGAAAATCCAGCTTAACTTTTGCGCCTGAAAGAACAAAAGAAATGATATCTTGATAAAACAAAATCTAAATGAATAGATTATAGGCCCATGCACAGCTATCTTAATTCCTTTTTGCGATATCTTGTGGGAATAGGGCACAGTTGGGAGATATTTAATTAGGTTGAAAAGCAATGCTACTCAGTGGGTTACATGTGCATTAGCTAAAGCCAGCATTACTGGAAGTATTATGTAAACTTGTTTTAGTGCTAGATTTGGCTCATGTAAAAATAAATTTAATATTCACTACATGTGAAGACCCCCTGTCCTGTTGATACTTCCCTACTGATGGAGGTCAAATGTAGTTTCTGAACCTGTTAGAACATGTTAGAAGAAAAGGCTCGGATGAAGTTGAATTTTCAATTTTAATTATCAAAGTTTGGTACCCACAGTCATTGTTAATCTTGTGGTGATAGAATCAAATATTAGTTCTTCCTTATAGGACATTTCAAAGTCATGAACTTTATA